ACTTTAAACATGTTTAAAAGTTGTAAACTGTAAGAACAAAGTCAGATGAAAATTTCTTTGCTTTCCAAGAAGTTGGTAAAGGTGTGTGATTACATTTTTTCACTCCCAGACTGTTGATATATTTCACTCCCAGAATATCCTGGGCCTTCAGCATATTTTCCTCCTTTATTTCTCTTCTACAGACATATCAACATGCTCTCATTTACTTTCATTGATTCCTTTTCTGTTGTAATGACCTGCTCTGTCCTTTCTAGAACTGAATTTTCTTCAAGGCTCAAAACAGTTGATTTTTTTTTTTATTGGTAGTCTTGATTCCTTGGGGTGTTGGGACGGGGCCGCTTAAAGGCTGGGTTACTTAGGGTGGCACAAGTTCTTCCCTCCCCTGGGTTCAGAGAGGTTAAGTCTGTCTTTATCCAGCACTGCCCCACTAGGAACAGGGACCACCTTGAGATCTTTCTTTGTTCCTCTCCTCCTTTCCACTGACTCAGGAGATCCAGGTAGGTAAGCAGGGTTTGCCAGGGATGTGCCCCTTGGAGAACACATAAGGTAGGGAATCAGGTGCTGTTTACAGGGGCCTGAAGTGACAGGACAAGGGGGAATGGCTTCACACTGACAAGAGAGCAGGTTTAGATTGGATAATGGGAAGAAATTGTTCCCTGCGAGGTGGAGAGTCCCTGGCACAGGTATTCCAGAGAAGCTGTGGCTGCCCATCCCTGGAAGGTCAGGTTGGATGGGGCAGCCTAGTCTAGTGGAAAGTGTCGCTGCGCATGGCAAGGGGTTGAAATGGGATGATCTTAAAGGTTTCTTCCAACCCAGACCGTTGTGTGATTCTACAATTTACACTCATCAGTATAGAAGTATTTAAATGGGTTGGATTTGAATTGTGTAAGGAACAACCATAAATGATGCTATATTCTGCTACAGTTACCCACAAAATATGTTACCTGCTGTTGAAATGGCAGCATTTGGTTATTTGGTCCTAGCTTAAGAGAACTTCAAAATATGAGGCCAAATTTCAAAATTTAGTTTTACAGGTATTTTCCCAAAGCATTACCACTGTTCTTGCTCAATGAAAGCAAACAAAGGCATAAAATCTCTCTTTCTGTCTGGAAAATACAATTGCATAATAGAACCTTCTAGTTTCTCTTGATGAATTCTGTTTTATGTTGCTCTAGAATATCTTTAATGACTGAGTTCCTGTATACTTACTCAGTAGCTTTTAACATTCCTAAACTTGTGTTCATGCTACATGACTTATTCAAGCTTTTGCTTTAATTTTTCATTTATCAGAGTTACTTTGAAAGTGATCTGACTAAAAAGATTGTGATAATCTACCAGTGACTCCATCCTGTCATATAAAACTATTTTTCCTTGATGAGCATCCTATTAATAGGGCAGTCTAAACAGATCCTTGGTGTGAATGACAAACTCTTCCCTAGACTTCTCACCCCCTGCATCCTATGTCACCATCATAAGAAATAGAGGGTTTAAGTCCCTGGTTTCTAATAATTAACTCTTTTGCAGCAGAGAACAGCTGGGTTCTCTGTTCCACTCATTCCACATTTCCATCTGGCTTTGGGGCAGCAGCTGGGTCATTCCAATTTTTATTTGTGGAAACCTTCCTTCCCATCAGTGTGAACTGCTTAGCTGCTCTGCTTGTGTTCAGGATGTTAGCATAAGGATGTTCAAGGAATTTTCAATCGGTCTTTGCCTTTACTTAAAGTGTATGGCTTTTTTTGACAACTCCTTTGGTCTGTAAAATCTGGCATAGTTGCTACAGTTCTATTTTTTTTTTTTTAATACATTTCATGTGTTTGTCCTGCATGTTTGTAAAATTTTATTATCATTTTCTTTCTAAATCAAAGGGAAATTAAGGAGAGATGGGTTCACATTATTTATTCTTATCAAACGGAATCATTATCTACAGAGGCTTAATTTGATGAATAGTGGATACACATGTGTATGTTTGAGGCAAATCCTGGAGACCACTCACAAAGAAAATTCTCACTGTCAACATGAGTTTTGCCTGAGTAGATATTTCATATTTTGGCTCTTTGTTTTCAGAATGGGAATTATCGTTTTCCACTTGGAGCACTCATTTGGCCTCGCAGTACCTTGGCTCACATGGTTTTCAATAAGTGTACTGGCAACTTCCAGCATCCTGGGATTCAGATCTATCTCTACATGGACATTTGGCCTTTGTGAAGACATCACAACTATTTCTAGCTTGCTGTCCTAAGTGTAGGACTCTTCCCATTTTCAGACAAAGAATTGATTCTGAACCACACTCTTTTTACAGCTGAGTGGAATTGTCCCTTCACATCCATGGATGCATGGGTCAAACATCCCTAAGTCTGGACTGCAAAGAAATATTTGGTGCAAAATACTCATAAAAGGAATATATACAAAATGCATTCCAGAGAGCACTTTAGTCTGTTCAGTCAAGGGTAAGATGACTTGGCAAATTCAACAAATACAGATCAACTACTATTCCAATCCAGGTGTAAGGCAGTTAAAAGGATACTGGAATGTCTTACTAGGGAAGTTAAACAGAAACTTGGCCAAATTTGAACAGAATATGCTCTCAGAGCAAAATAGCAAAAATTAATTTAGTGTACAATGTTTTGCTTGGCATTTATTTTCTTTATTTCACCTAGGTTTCATTCAAATCAGTTTTCAAAAGATGCTCTGACCTCTGGAGACTGCCTCTCATGTCTCAAAATACTTTGCTTAGCAGAAAGTAAGAGAAAAAAGGAAGAAAACAAATTCAGGTCTGCAGCATAGCATAGTTTATCTAGATCTTCTCAGTTTCTTACAGCCTCATTTATCTCCTTCCCCTGCTTTGATCAAGCTGTCTCCTCTCATGTAGCCACCCATGCCAGATATCTTCATCCTTTCTTCATTTAAGTCTAAAGATGTTTGTCACATCCAACTTCTGAATCTTTATATAAGGAAGAATCATAGCAAATAATGCAAATCAACACAAGCCAGTAAAAATTTAAGAAGCATCAGGATAGAGGTGTTGACTGCAGCAACTTTAAATACCTATTGTTGTATCTTTCTCTGTCTTTTTCTCATCCTGCTTACCACCATTTTTGCTGCTGATCAGCTCATTTATTAGAGTTAACCTGTGCCTTAGTGTTTCTTGGAGTTCTGCATGTCGTCCAGAAGAGGGATCAGAGGGATGGAGAACCTCTCTTACAAGAAAAGGCTGGGAAGCATTGGATTTGTTCAGCCTGGAGAAGAGAAGGCTTTGAGGTGACCTCATTATGGCCTTCCAGTGCCTGAAGGGAGCCTCCAAAAAAGAGGGAGAGAGACTCCGCACAAGGGCCTGGAGTGACAGGACAAGGGGGAATATCTTCACACTGACAGAGAGCATGTTTAGATTGGATATTGGGAAGAAATTGTTCCCTGTGAGGGTGGAGAGGCCCTGGCACAGGTTTCCCACAGCAGCTGTGGCTGCCCTATTCCTGGCAGTGCTCCAGGCTGGGCTGGATGGGGCTTGGAGCAGCCTTGTGTAGATACCCAGAAAAGAAGTGTCTACTGAGTGTGTCTCAAACACTGATACCGGGGTAGCCAACGGAGCCAACCGAGGATTTTTGGTTGACACAGGCAAGGGCTGTTGGTACCAGCATGCCAGGAGGAAGAACAAAATGTGACTGGTGAAGGGGGACACGTGAAGGTAGTGCAGCACTTTTCTGGGGCAAATATCCTGGTCAAGTCCACAGAGGCACAACTAAAAATGTGCAGGAATGAGGCCAAGAAGTGGGCATGGACCGTAGGGGGGATCAAGACCACCCAAGACCCCTGAAAGCTCCTTGTCCAGTTCCAGAAAGGTCTGAAAGGATGGAGGGTTCAAGATAACTTATTTGACTGGAAAGCAAGAAACTTACTTTCAGGGGAGAAACCCATCCCTAAAAGGGAAACACCCAGCACTCCCAGGTGGCCCCCCTCAGGATCCTGGACACCTCATCACCCCATCAGGGATCAACACTGGAATTAGGGCTGCTCACCTCTTTCTCTCTCTCTTATTAATCTCCTTTTCTCTCTTCCCTTTCATCTCATTCTTTTATCCAAAGCCCAGTGCCATGTTCTTTTATAGTAGGTTAGGGATTACACACCAATTTCCATACCAAGTGTGTAATTAATAATTAAATTTTTCTGATTGTTTGCAAGACCCTGTGACTTTTGCTATTCCTTACGACCAAAAACATTTACACATCACAGTGGAAGGTGTCCCTGCCCATGGCAAATGGGTTGGAATGAGATGTAAGGACCCTTTCAACTCCGACTATTCCAAGATTCAATTATTTAAATGATACTTTATCACATACTTTTTGAATGCATTAGGAAAACCTCACTATCAGGATAAAAGAATATTTTGGAGATGTTACTGTGTTTATATTCTCACATGCAACAGAGAATAGTGAGGGTTGTGTCTGCTGTGGTGAAAATGTCATGTCAGTTCCATGCAGGCCCCCTTTTATTGCTCATGAGGATTTATTAATTTAAAATGGATTTTGTTCTCTTCATGACTATCAGATTAATTAAAAAATGTTAATAATCCATTATTTTGGATGGGGCTGATATGCAAGGGTTCTTATTGTAGTAAAGAGGGATGCTATGACCACTGCTGTAGGAACAGTCTTTTTTTTTGTGGGAGATATCAATACAAATTCCAGCTCTGCATGGATTCAGAACTTGGTGGGAATGAGGACATGCATGATACTTTTCTCTTTTGTGACTGCTCACTTGAAAAGCCTGGTAAATTTTTGTCATCTCACTTAATTTATGCTCTAATTTGGGAAAGGAAAATATATTTTGCAAGGGCACATTGAAAGGTTATTGATTAGGGAAGCTGGACCAGATCTGACAGCCTAGTCCAAAAGGTGTGTGGAGTTGAATCATCTTGATGGTTTTGTTTGTAAATGTGACCAAAAATTTTGGAGATTTTCTCTTAATCATAATAACATTTGTTTGTCTGTTTTTGTCTTTTTCAGGAGCATCCCAGGCCAGAGTATGAAGCCAAACTGCTGCAGAAAAAGCTGGAAAATAAAAACATTACAACAGAAAATTCAAACGAGGTGAGATGCAGCTTACTCTTTTCATTTATGTGGGATTTGTGTTTTGTTATGTTGTGATTATATTTTTGTCTGTCTCTCAGAGGTTACAAAAGGCACTTTTTGGTGCTGTTCATTAGCCTTTTGAGTTGGTAGGTGGCCATGTGCTGAAATGTAGGCCTGCAGTGCCATTCCAGGGCTTTGAGGTCATGTCTTTCAAAGTAAAGCAATTTGCATAGAAATGGGTTGTCAGGTGGTTCAAGATCTAATCTGTGGAGTAGTCCCTGATTCCCAAGAGAATCACCATAGAATTCTTATGGTAATCCCTCATCCCTCAGAATGTCAGTACTTTCTGCACAATGGAGAAAGCAGCTTTTATTATGGTGATTTCATTTGCAAAGGTAACCTCGGTGACTTTAGTGCTGCTGCAGTTACACAGTTGTGAAGTTTTAATGGCATTTCCAGGACAAATAGAAAAATAGTTGGTAGATAATTTTCAGACTGAACAGGGTTCAGGATTTTTATGTCTATTTCAAACTTTTTTGAACAAGCCTTTTTTTATCAATCCATCTTGTAAATTGTTGACTGAGGTCTATTTTCTTCACATTCACAAATTCTGTAGTCTTGGTCCATTAGGCTTGGTTAACCATTGCTCTTTCCCTGCATTCCATGTGTGCCAGAAAAGTCAAAGCATTCCAATATCATGTTCAGCTTCCAGGGAGAAAAAAACCAGTTTAATACGATTACAGGTTGAGAATCAGTATCCAAAGTGGAGAATTTTCAAGTTTTTAGGTTTGGTCCAACAAATTTAGCTTGTGGAAGAACTACATTATCCCTTTCTTCTGCTGACCACTATTGTAAAGTGTTTCCAGGGAATCTTTCATTTCAGTGAGCCTGCCTGTTACCTGTTGTGCCCAACCAAACGCCACAGAAAATCATGGAAAGATTCTCAATAATTTTAGTGGTGGTTTTGATCTTGCCCAAGAAGCAGAGACTCACAGAGCATTGTGGGATCTTACACATTGTACAGCTCCTTTGGGCTTTCAAGTGAGGAATCAAGGACTGTAAAAGTCCAATAAAATAGTTGCTCTTCAGCTTTTGTTTTTTTGGCTTAAAGTAAACGGAAACTGGAAACAAGTCAGCCATTGATGCTGTAGAATATTATGATTATCTTGCTTATCTGAGATACAGAAATAATTATAAATTAGATATTAATTTAAGGTAAAACAAAAAGAAACAGAAAAAAGACCCAACAAAAATCCCCCCAAACACCAACCAAATGAGAAAACCCCACACCAAAACCTAAAAAACAACCCAGTAAGAAATGTTAAGTAAGTAGGTGGAAAACAAGGAACAATGTAAGATCCAGCACTACAAAACTAGGAAAAGCTCCTTTCAGACATCAAGAATGAAAAGTCTAACATGGTATATTTTTTGTCAAATTGTTTTCTGTGCCAATGTAGATGGAAAAAAATACTGAATTTCTGAATTAGTGTTCTCCAAATTACAGAAATATATTCCAAGCAACTGAGCAGTTTTCCATCAGTGAACATTCTGGCTTACTAATTCTGTCCAGGAAACAGCACATTAGTCTGGGTTTGGAAGATGTGTTGCTCACGCCTTTGTACATCAGTGTCTTATGAAATTGTGAGATCAATAGATGTTGATGTGAGAACTGCAGAAGAGGAAAAAACCTAAACATAACAGTTCCATTAAACAGTGCTAACTGTGGAAATGCACCATTAAATTTTGCTTTGGAAGACCTTGAAAAATTAAACATTAAAAGTGATGAGTATTTAAGATTGCAATAATTATTTAGCCTTATTTTTAGAGATTTCAACCTTTTCTTTTTGCAAGACCATTATCTCAGGAGCTTTTGTGTGGCAGGTTAATATTAAGACACAGGTTTTTGTGAGGTCTCTGGCTCTGTATTTCTGTCTTACTGAGTGGATGCCAGGGTACAGAACTTTGTCATATTACTAGGGGAGATCTAGCGGCTGGACAGGCATCAAAGTAGAGATGTCTCTGTAGTTAAAGATTCAATCCTCTTAATTTCTTGGTTTTGTGTGAGTACACAGATGTCTGTGAGGTTTCATCTCTTCATGTTTTGGTTGACAGTCTAATGTCATGGCATAAGTCTCTGTGAAGTTTTCTCCTGAATATTTTTAGCGAACTATTGTAAATTAAAGGCATATCTTTTTTAGTGTGGCTGGTCAAAAACTGTAGTATTAAGTTAATATCAAAGGATTGGCTCTGGCACTGCTGCCTAAAATTTCTCATTACTTATCTAACATCAAGTCAGAAGTCTCCAGTTCAGCAGCTGTGGCTTGTTGGGATAGAAATGATGCCAAAGAGTGGCTATTGTGAGCATACTGGTCTAGAGTTTACTTAAAGGCATATATTTCTATAAAATTACTGGCTTGTTTCCAGTATGTTAATTCCTGTGTTCCAGTGAGGAAGTGACTGATTTTATGGCAAGAAGCAGCTTTTATGTGCAAAGCTCTTTGTACAGTGCATTTTTCCCTTGCCTTACTCCAACAAGGAGTTCCTGTGAAGCTAATTGGGTTATTTTTGCAATGAAGGGGACAGGGGTTTGGTTAGGGGCTGCTTTTGTGATTGCAGGAGAAAGGTCACACCACTTACATCCTCTCTTAAATGATTACTTGGGAATACATGTTCAGAGGAAACCAGCACACAGTTTTCCCTCTCTGCTGTTCAAGTAATTAACTTTAATGAGTGTGGAAGATGCCCAGCACCTGTCAGGCCCAGTAAACATATGAGTCATTCTACCCAGGCAGCAAATTCCAAATCAGCCTGATGAGCCTGGCAAGACAAAGTATGACACATCTAATACTTGCCCAGTGGGGTTTGTGTTCTAGAATATAGCTCTCGTACAAAACACCACTAGGGTGTGTTTCTGCTACTGGAATAAGAAAAGAACAAAATTTCACCCTCCACCAATCTGTTCAGGCTGTTTGAATAAATATTTTATTGGTTATTTGGAGAGCGAGAAAGAAACTGTGAGGGCTCAGAGAGCTTCATAAAAGATTGATGAACAGTAACACTAACTTCTATTATTTCAGGAGAGAATTCATTTACAGCTAAAGGAGGTGAAGCATTTGTGTGAAATGCCTCAGGTTAAGTAGCAAATAGATAAATAGACAATCTTTTGAATTATGACATTGATTTTAGAAAATTCTAAGGGACTGATTTGGGAAATCTGGAATGACCTGTCTTATAGTCAGTACTACTATTTAATTCTTTATGGTCATGTGCTATTTACAAGGACATGTAGTGACAGCATAATGGGGAATGAGTTCAAACTGACAGAGAACAAGTTTAGGTTAAATATTAGGATGAAGTTCTTCCCTCTGAGGGTGGTGATGGCCTGGCACAGGTTGCCCAGAGAAGTTGTGGCTGTCCCATCCCTGGAAGTGTTCCAGACCAGTTTGGATGGGGCTCTGAGCAACCTGGGCTAGTGGAAGAAGTCCCTGCCCATGGCAGGGGGTTGGAACTGACTGATCTTAAAGGTCCTCCACCAATTCAACCCATTCGATGATTCTCTGATATAAAGGCTTGCAATGTATAGCTCCTTTATTCATGTACATCAAAAGGCATTTTTGTTCTTGCAGCAGAGATGAAGGATTACACAGACGTGTATGAATGCATGTATCTGATAATACATTCATGCAAACACAGCAGATGCAAGCTTTGTAATGAAGCAATTAATGGTATATTTTGTTTTTCTTAAATGAACTATAACACAGAAGATGTGGATAGAAATCTTTAATGAATAGGGTTAAGTTACTGCATGTGCAGAATGTTAACTGAAAATGTGGTGGATATTTGCAGTCTTGTGAGAAGATGTTCTTCTCTCTCTGCAGTAGTGGAATCCTCAATGGAATGACACAGAGGTCAGGAAATGAAAATTGGTCTTGTGCCTGAAAACATGCAGATGGGGCTAGATCCAACTCTCACTGGAACTGATGGAAAGCCTTCCAGGCATTTTTGTGAGAGATGACCCTGATTCCTTTTCATTAAATGTCCAGCTGATCTGGCAAACATGATTCAACATAATGTGTGTGTATTTATATATACACACATGTGTGTGTGTGTGTGTGTGTGTGTGTGTGTGTGTGTGTGTGTGTTCTTATCTTTCCTATTTGGCAGGAAAGTGAATAACTCATTCTATATATTTCTCAAGAAAAATTTTCTTTATAGGAAAATAAGGGCTTGTCTTTTGGCTTGTGTCCTGACTTGGAGTAAACCCTAGGAGTAATAGATTCTGGCATTCTGTCTTTCCTTTAATTCATTTTAAATATGATACTGGCAGAAACAATTATTCAAATAATTAATTCAGCTGGTAATTGAAACAAAAAAGAAATATTTCTTTCTGAACCATCATTTCAGTTAACAACTGAGTTAAAGCAAGCTGATTTGGAGAGGAGGGTCTCTGATGTAAAGGATGATGCAGATAAATATGAAGTAGAATTGTACATTGCTAATACTTTATATATCTATTTTTAAAATTTCAACATTGCAAAACATGAAATAAAAATTCTTGCTAGCAGTTGATTACCAATCTTCCATAAGCAAATCTCCCACAAGGACTAAAATCCCTTTCAGATACTGGAGCCCATTTCTTCATTAAGCAAGTCCTTGATAAGATTAGCTAAAGAAAAAAAAAATCTCTTTTTATTGTAAATATTAGCTGAAACTCTGTAGAAAAAACCAAGATAATTGGTCATAAATACCAGTTTGAACAATCAGAATTATAAAAGAACTTTAAATATTCCCAGAGTTCTTTAATCCCTAGTATTTTAGCATTTATTGAACCATATTATTAGTACCATAGTATTATTATTAGATAAGCCCATCCATTTGATACAGTTTTTCTTAAACTGGCTAGTGTCTTTCTGGCCTCTTTCATGTCTTTACTTTGAGAAATATCTTTCTAAACATATGGGATAGTAAGATGCGTATGTAATAAATGACTTTTTTTTCTTTTCCAGCTTATTTCTTGC